TAAGTTGAGTGATGTGTCACCAACCTGAGAGCTTTCGTGCTATTGCATAGCCGAATGCATAAGCAAGACCCCACCCGATCATAGTGTTGATCAGAGTGTAGAATACATGTACTCCAGCATCTGCACCATCTACACGTGTACTATCAACTCTCATCTTGTTCCCAGCTGCTAGGCGTATCTGAGCCAGTACGCTCGTACCGACCAACTAAAAACCAAAAACAGTGCTTCAATATTTCAAATTACACAATTAGACAAAGTGGAAAAATCAGCCATACTTTCACGTGAAGAACAGTGTTATGAAGCTGACTTACCGTCATCAGTCCGGTACCAATGAATTCACCCAGCATGCCTTTACAAAGCTCATGCTTAATCGATAAACGATTACGGAGTCTCTCCAAACGGTCTATGGCGTTGGCTGCCGCCATTTGTTGTCAGCAGGTTAATACTGAAAAATCAACATAATATTTCCCAAGTACAGAGCACCGTCTTCCTCAAAATAATACATCGTATTCACGCAGAAACCGCAAATTTTCAACTTCTAAAGGTCCAACTTGCCACCGTAACCCTCATTCAAATCATACACACAGAAAGATTTTAGGCAATAAAAACTGATACACGTTTTTGACAACAAACAGTTCATTACCGCATAGCAAAATTATTTGAAAACTGTATTCAATTTTTTTCTAGTGAAATTAATCTATTCCTCTGTTTCCACCCGACTGTGGGTCAAAATCGAAGAAAAGGAGAAAAAATAGGAAAATTATAAACTAAAAGGAATTATTTGAGAAGGAATCGAATCGTAACTTTGCACAATTAAAAATCATTCTAACGAAGCAAAAATCAAGCAGAAAAAAACCGATTCCATGAAAAACGTTTCAATAAAAAATAAAAGCAGCAATTTAAAAGCAATAGGATAACTAAAGCAAAAAAATAAAATAAATAAAAAATGGAGAAAGCAACTCTTAATACAAAACAGCGTGAAAAAGTAACACTTCAACAGTTGGCCGATAGACACCGTACTTTTATCGATAACCGTTTAAATTTTAGCTTCTTTTTTTTTCGCATACAATTTTTCCATGATAGATGTTCTTGAAAAATATGAGAAAAAAATTTTTTTCTGAATTCTAACCACAAAGTACCCACTCAAAATACAAGTTCCGAAAAAAGCAATAAAAATTGTTTATGATTATTGCAAATACAACTGCAAACTGCAGACTGCAAAAAATGCAACTGCGTCTGTAGAATTGCTGAATACAAAAACAACAATAATGACAACGGTGAAATGACGACGACAACAAGAACAACAACAAACGTTCATCAGCAACAAACAACAACAACATCAACAACGACGACAGCAACTGCACCTCCATAAACCTAACCGACTTCGATAATCAACCAAAACCAACAGATCGACCCACCAGCGGTAGTGGCGGTCGCTGTCGGCGGGGTCGTATCCGTACTGCTGCCCAGGCACCAGCAGCAAGAACACAACTAGTCAGCGTCAGTTCAAAGATCGCAAATAAAGCCCATACCCATCACGTTGATACGTTATTACTGTTGTCGTTGTTACTGCTGCCGCTGCTGCTGCTGGCCGTTAACCTTTTTTCATTTTTCTCCCTTTACTTCACTGACCCCCTCCTTTTCCACCTTTTCCTTATCCTATTCTCCCACTTCTCTGTCTGGGTCCCTCTCCCTCTCCCTCTATTACCCTGAACTCGTTACGGCATACAAAACATCTCTGTTCAGAAATATTGGCGCCATTTGTTCTTACAAAGAGAACGCTATGACCGTTTGTGGGCAAAAGAATAATCATAAAACAACCGGGGACTGTTATAGGCGGAAAGGCTACGAAAAATGAGCCGAACAACACCCAAGATGAATGACGATATTTGAAGAGTGGTAGAGGATGATGAAAATAAGGGGGAAGGAAAGGGAAGAGGAGGAGCAGGAGCAGGATGAGGGGGGAGGATGACATTTGAAACAATGTCTATGTGAACCTTTTTTTTTTTTACGCTAAGCGAATGTATCAAAACCGTTAAAGTGTAAGGAAAGATCTGATCATCGAATGTTTAGTGTACAATAAATACAGTTTTTGGCGCAGCAGCAATAGCAACAGCAGTAGTGAAAACAGAAAGAAGGCTTTAATTTTTATCTAAGCTTTTCGGGGGTTTGTAAAGGATTGTTTTTTTTCTGTAGGTCAACAGATGTATATTTGTCATCAAATTAAACTGCTGAAAAAGAAAAAAATCTACGTTTTTGATGTGTACAAAAATATTCGAAATATTTGATGTACTTTAAGCATTGTCTGTTTCAAAATGCAAAATATGATATCTCACTATATTTGTTCAAAAAAAAATATATATATATATATAATAAAATAAAATTAATTAATTAATCAAAATAAATTACTTAAATTAAAGCTGTTTTTGAAATTAGATAAACAGAACGTCGAAAGTCAGAATAGTGAAGGAATCAGTTGATTTTTGCACTTCAAAAAATTAATAAAACAGAAACTGTTTCTGGCAAAAAACGAGAAAAAAAAAAATAAGGCAATAAATTTTGAAACATTCAGGAA